CACAACACCACCGGGGACGACCTCAGGTACTGCTATTATTGGTAGCATTCTGAGTCATCTTCAAAACCCACACTGGCTACTAGTTGCATTTACATTTGAGGGCTGTTTTTTGCCTTGTGTCAGTCTCCTTCCATAATAAGGCACACATTGGAATCTATTCCAAGTTGGTGTGAGTCACGTGTGCTTCTGCAATGAACGTGTTTGAGTAGGTTTGAACAGCATGCCTGGGAAAATGAATCCTATTTTGACAGAGATGTCTAATGACTTAATCTCTTTGTAAAAGCAGTAGACCAATCCTGGGGCCACAGTCCTTTGTAGGCTGGGGAGAAGAGGCAGCAGGAGGTGCTCAACTAAACTTGCCCTCTGGTCTTTCCACTGTCAGAGACCTGTGTGGTGGAAGGAGACCCTCACTACCACACATTCGACAAGCAGCTACACAACTTCATGGGCACCTGCACCTACACCCTCTCCAAGCTGTGTGAGAGCAACAGCTCCCTGCCCTATTTCAACGTGGAAGCAGCCAACGAGCACAGGAGAGGCAACACTCGTGTGTCCTACGTCCGATACGTGGATGTCGATGTGGCTGACCAGCGGATAAGGCTGGGGCAGGGTGGAGTGGTGACGGTAAGCTCGAGGGGACAGCCTGTGGGGCTGTGCAAGAGGAAAGAGCTGTGCCAAATGGGTTGCTTCAATCCTATCTTGCTTCCTGTCCCTTCAGGTGAATGGAGTGGCAGAGATCCTGCCTTGCAGCCCATCCGCAGGTGTGCAGGTCTTGTCCAGTGGGTTCTACACTATGGTCATGACAGACTTTGGCTTGAGAGTGAAGTTTGATGGGGTCCATCGGGTGGAGGTGACACTTCCAAGCACCTTTGGGCAGAAGGTTTGTGGCATGTGTGGGAACTACAACGGGATGGCAGCAGATGACTTCCTGAACCCAGAAGGGATGCTGGAGCCAGACTCTACCAGCCTGGGCAACAGCTGGGAGGTGTCCAAAAACAGCAGGTGGGTGTGCCTCCCCAGCAGGTCTGGGGACACATCGGGCAAGGGGAGGAGGAGGCACCAGGAGAAGCCCAGAGATGACCCAGGGGCCCTTCTCCCTGTCTTTCCACAGCTGCTCAGCCGGACCGCTCCCCACCCCAGCCTGCAATGACACGGACAAGCAGGTGATCGCCAGCAGCCGCTTCTGTGGGCTCCTCATTGACACCAGTGGCCCCTTTCAGATCTGCCACGCTGTGCTGAGCCCCAGCAGTTACTTTGAGACCTGCTCGTATGACCTGTGTGAGCTGGGGCTGGACCAGGAGACCCTGTGCAAGAGCTTGCAGTCCTATGCGGATGCCTGTCAGGCGCTTGGGGTCCAGATACCTGTGTGGAGGAACACAACCTTCTGCCGTAAGTCCACACGTGGTAGCACAGATCGTTACTCTCAGGAAAACGCAGGACAGGAAGGAAAGAGTGAGGCAGGGAAATATTCTCACTGTGAGCTGAGGGGATTTACAGGGAGTTGTCTGTATTAGAGGCACCATCACATTTGCTGTTTCATTTGATCAGATAGGACTGAGAACACACATGGAACCAAGCAGACCAGAGGGAAAACGCAGACCGTTACTTTTTCAAAGGGGAAAATACCTCAAAAGAAGTGTTGAGTTATGTTCTGCAAGTAATTGCTGCATCTTCTGTTTCTGCAGCGATCACCTGTCCGGCCAACAGTCACTATGAGCCCTGTGCTGCTGCCTGCCCTGCCACCTGTGTTGACCCAATGGCTCCAGTCACCTGCAGCCTGCCGTGCGTGGAGGGCTGTGTGTGTGACAGCGGGTACCTGCTCTACCACGACCAATGTGTGCCCAGCCAGCAGTGTGGGTGTTGGCACAATGGGCAGCACTACCCCGTGGGCTCTGAGTTCTGGACGGACAACAGCTGCTCCTCCAAGTGCACGTGTCCCGCACGGGGAAGCAAAGTCCAGTGTTTCGAAGCCTCATGCCCTGCGGGCCAGTACTGCGGGGTGCAGGGTGGGAAACCCGTGTGCCTCGAACACTCCTACGGCATCTGTCACGTCCACGGGGACCCTCACTACAACACCTTTGACAAGGTGACGCACAACTTCATGGGCAACTGCACCTACACCCTGGCCAAAGTGTGCTCCAACACCACCTCCCTGCCCTACTTCAATGTGGAGGCCAAGAACGAGCATCGTGGCAACACCAGGGTGTCCTATGTGCGTGAAGTGCTGGTTGAGGTGTACGGACAGCGCATTGCCATCCTCAAGCAGGAGAAGAGCCAAGTGCTGGTAGGCGGCGGAGCCGGCACGGGTGTGGTGTGGGTGCAAGGCAGGACTGGCTGTTCTCGGCAGGGCCTGGCATGTACCAGCTGCCTCCATTGTTCCAGGCCTGGGGGGGTTCCCCTGAAGCCACTGGGTTCCTCTGTTTTTCCCTTCCAGAGGGGTTGGAGGAGGAAGAGGCAACCAGGAAATGTGCTCTCTGTTGAGCAGAGGCCCTTGCAGAGTGCAGGACACAGAAACGGCTCTGTGGGCCCCAGGGGTGTGGGGTGTGAGGGTATCCCAGGCAGCTGTTTGCCGTGCCTGGCCTGGCAGCTGCTTTCCCCAGGCAGGAGACCCCGGGGAGGCCAGGGACAAGTCCAGGGCCCATGGTACTGTGTCTGCCCTAGGTGAACGGTGTGCGCCAGACCCTGCCGGTGAGGGCAGCGGGAGGTGCGATCACGGTGAGCAAGAGCGGCCGCTACGTCGTCCTGGAGACAGACTTCAGCCTCAGAGTGTCCTACGACACTGACCACTCGGTGGAGGTGAAGGTGCCCACCACCTACTTCAACCTGACCTGTGGCATGTGCGGGAACTTCAACAACCGGAGAGACGACGAATACATGATGCCAAACGGGCAGCAAGCCGCAGACTCCAATGCACTGGGGGAGAGCTGGCAGGTCCCAGACAGTGACCCCTCTTGCGGTGTCCCCGTCCCCTCCCCACCCTGCAGTGCAGAGGAGGAGGAGCTCTACAAGTCGGACCGCTTCTGTGGCATACTGACCAGCAGGCCCAGCTCTTTTGAGACGTGCCACAGCGTGATCAACCCCCAGAGCTACTTTGACACCTGCCTCTACGACCTTTGTGCCCTGAATGGTGGCCAGGAGTTTCTGTGTGCTGCTCTGGAGGCCTATGCTGACGCGTGCCAGGCAGCTGGCGTGACTCTTCTGCCCTGGAGGAATGCCACCTTCTGCCGTGAGTACCTGCCTTGCCGTTGCCAGAAGGGAAATGTACCGCTCCCCTTGCCCAGAACCTCTGGCCAAAGACAGTCTTTGCTCTTCCCCCTCCCAGAAGACCTTCCTTGCTTCAAGTCTTGCTGGTCCTGATTGTCCCCTCCCCATTGCAGCCTTGAAGTGTCCTTCCAACAGCTCCTATGACCCTTGCATGACCGGCTGTCCTGCCACCTGTGTTGACCGACAAGCCCCACAGAACTGCTCCAAGCCCTGCGTGGAGGGCTGTGCGTGTACCTCTGGCTTCCTCCTCAGCGGAGACACCTGTGTGCCCGAGGCCCAGTGTGGCTGCCTCTTTGAGGACAACTACTACAGCGTGAGTGAAACCCCTGCCCTGCTTTGCACCCCTCCCAGGCACTCCTTTCCCTCAATTTTCCTGCATCCTACACTGACGTTTGGCGTTTCCCTGCCTGCAGGAAGGCGAGTACTCCGTGAACGAGAATTGCACTCGCCGGTGCCGGTGTGAAGCCAACGGCCAGATGGTTTGCTCTGCCTTGTCCTGTGGCGAGGAGGAGGTCTGCAAGATCCAGAACGGCCAGAGGGACTGTTACCCAGCCAGCACTGCGCTCTGCCACATCTACGGTGACCCGCATTACAGCACCTTTGATGGGAAGCTTCACCACTTCCAGGGCTCCTGCAACTACACCGTTGTGACAGGCTGTGACAACTCCTCCATCGGGTTCAGTGTCACTACCCGCAACGAACATCGTGGCAGCCAGAGCTGGACAGCTCTGAACTCTGTGGCACTGTCCCTGGAAGGCCTCCACGTTGCACTGCGCAAGCGCAAGGCCGTCTACGTAAGCCCCTCACTTTTACACCTGGGAACCACAGATGCACTAAGCACCCCTAAATACCACTCTGTCCCCAGGGAGAACTTGCTATTCCCTCAGCCTGCTGTGTGCTTGCAGAAGAGCCTGGTGAGGCTCTGAGTGAGGCAGATGTGGCTGCTCGTGCAGCCACAGATTTTTGGCTGGTGTCCTGACTTTTGGGTGGGCCGTGTGTAGAGCTGCTGGTGTCCTCATAGGCCTGGGCAGGGTTTCTCATGCCATCAGTGCTTCCGACTCACTGGGCCCTGGCACCACCCCAGTGAGGAACAGGGACCTCTCAGCAGAGGGCACCTCTTTATGCTTCCCTCTTTCCCCCTACTCCAGGTCAACGGTGCTCTGGTCTCCCTGCCTGCTTCTCCTGCCCCCGGTGTGACCATTTCCCTGAGCGGCTCCTACGTGCATGTTTCCACCAAACTGGGCCTGCAGCTGCAGTTCAACGGGGACCACGAGCTCCTCGTGAAGGTGTCTGAGAAGCACAAGGGCAAACTCTGTGGGCTGTGTGGGACGTACACTGGGAGCCAGCAGGATGACTTCATGCGCCCTGATGGAGTTGTCGTGCCCGACTTCAATGACTTTGGAGCCAGCTGGATGGTGCCGGATGATGAGTGGCTGTGAGTCCCTGATCTATCCTGCAGATGAAGGACAAGAGGGAGTTTGGGAGAGGGGAGCTATGAGAGCCATCAGGAGGAAGGGTTGGTGATGGCAGGCATGGGCCAAGGGAGAAGAGGCAGTTTCTTGACCTCCGGGAGGGTGGTCCAGGGCCTGGGCATGACACTTTTCCCAAGTTGTTGGGATCGCAACAGCCTGAGGCATTTTCTTCTGTCCACCTGATTCCAGGGGTGGGACTGGTGACTGTGGGCCATGCGTTCCACCCTGCAAGCGACGCCGTTGGTGCCTGTCTTAGGGGGGGGATCTGGGCTCCGGAAGCTGAGGTTTTGTCTGGGGAGGAGGTGAGGAAATGGTGTGGCTGCGGTGAGCTCAGGGCTGTCTGTCTGCTGTGTAGGTGTGACCCAACCATCGGCCCGCCTGTGTCCTGCTCCCCTGCTGAGGAGGAGGCAGCTAACAAGCAGTGTTCAATCCTCACACATCTGGGTGGCCCGTTCCAGCCATGCCATGCAGTTCTGCCGCCCCAGACCTACTTTGAGAGCTGTGTCTATGACCAGTGTGCCACGGGAAACAGCACGGAGCAGCTCTGCAATGACCTGGGGGCCTATGCCACAGCCTGTGCAGAGGCAGGCATTACCCTGGGAGACTGGAGTGCTGGCACTGTCTGTGGTAAGTCTTCTGTCCATCTCCTTTGATTTCCCTGACTCTCTCCCTGATTCAAGGAATGGGGCAGCTGTGCTGGAGGTTTCCCCACCTGTCACCTCA